GACTGATATGCATCTCCAAACTATAACAGAGCTCCACTGTTTTTTACAGATGGCTGTAAACACTCACTGTTGTCGTTCAGGTCCTGTGCCAGGTCTTTGCTGGATTTACTTTCCTGTTTTTTAAGGACATGACTATCAGATACTGTTTACCTGCCGACCACTTCTTCTTTTGTCCTCCTCTTGTCCATTTCCTTCACAATTTTGAAGGCATATCGCACAGCAGGCTGAGATATTCCAAGTTTTCAGCTAATAGCTATTTTTGAATCACCTCGTTGGTGCAGAAATACTATTTTATGCCTGTCAAACTTTGAGAAATGGGAACAAATTAGTTGTTTCTGAGACAGGCTGCTAGTAAAGTTCCTAACAATTGCCAAGTTTCCTGTTATGTGTAGACACAACATTGGTTCATCCTGTGAGTTAGGTGCATTTTTTACACATGAATAATTCATATGTCAGTATTAAGTCACTTAATAAATAGAAGACTGGACTAAAACTGAGTGAAAAAGCAGCCAATGTCCAAAGAAAAAATCTGAAAGACCTTCAGAAAGCTTGGAGCACTGTTGCTCAAGACAACTTTAAAAGATTACAGGAAAGCCTGGCTCTTTGGAAGCAAAATATAAAGAAATTAAATTACATTAGCTTACACATAAATCACAATGACTTAATCTAAAACAAGGTAATACATTTAGTATGCTTTCCATATTGCAAACAGAAGCAATTTTTGTTCAGTTAAATAAACTTTCTTGGGCTTCTGCATCACCGAATATGCTAAATATGCTAAAACAAAACCAAGTAATCTTACAATCAACAAGAACAATGAAAAAAAAAGGAATAAACACACAATAAAACCAAAATTTTCACATTTAATTGGAATATTGGATGTTTTGCACAGTGTAAAGTGCAGCATTAAAGTATTAAGAATATTCATATTCACATCTGTCTCCTAAAGTAGTGGATGGTGGGTGAACAAACATACAGACTGAAATATAAACAGGAAAAAAACAAATTCAGATTTTAGGCTCATGCGGAACGCCTCTTCATCTCTACTTTATGTATGCTTGTTGTTTTTTATAAGCAGAGAAAAGTAAAATGAACACAAACTGAAGGAACGTTTAGGAGAACGCCCTTCTTACTCAAGCGTACACGGATTACAAACGTGATCGTTTTTGGGGGCGGATCTCTTGGTGTTTTGGCTGAAGGTCAGTCTCATTTATAAAAAAGATAATTTTACAAACAGTCAAACAAACAAAAAAAATACCATCTGAAAGAAGAATAGTGAACATCAAAAAATTCTCCTCCTTGTGAATATCACAAGGACGTCTGTGGCAGTAAGGAGAGCTAGGACGACAGAACATGAGGGGGTCAAACGGTTTCGCGCAAACCCACAGGAGCTGTCAGGTCATGAGAAAGAGGCACGGAGATGAAGCAGATGAGCTGTTATTTTTGTGTTGTGGTCCTCCGTGTGTGCATGTGTCTGTGCGTCCTTGGGTTTGTTTGTGTGTCTTTTCTGACGACAGAGCTGAGAACATCCCTGACCTTTAACCTGTGAATCTGCTGCCTGGTCTCTGTGGAGGGCACACATTCCTCTGGCAGAAACTGAAGCAATGAACTTCATCCAAAACACTGGAAGACACGACTGACTCAAAACAAAAGTCCATTCAGTTTGTTGGTAAATTAAATATTTAATGCTCCAATAGGCAGCAGCAGCGCTTCGTGTTTGATGGTAATTTAGTGCTGCTTTACAAAGCATTCAGTGTCTCAGGGGAAATCCTCTCAGAATAATAAATAAATACATCAAAAATGAAATATCCTCTCAGCCCAGAGAGACAGAAAGAGGAGGCAAGCTCTTTTTATGTGTCTATGGGGGGTAAAGATGTTACTGCAGAGAAACAGTGGGAGAGGAAGCTTTTAAATAAACAAAAATGGAAGGTCTGAAGGTTTAGTAAAGATAGTCAAGGATTCTGGTGTTACATAATGCTCTTTTATAAGGTGTCAGTGTTTACTAGAATTATGCAATAACATAAGGCAACAGTATTTCTAAAATAAAAATGGGTTTGTGATCTAATTTCTAATAACAATGATAATAATATATATTTTTATAGGTGCCTTTAAAACACTCAATGACGCCTTAATAGAAATTAAATAACAACATTTATGTTTATTTATGATAACAGTTGCTTGCTTTTGTCACGAGCAGTTGTGGTGATGTGTCCAGCACCTTGTGAGTCTGTGTGTAATGCTGTTAAACACGGTTCTGTGGGAATATAAAAAGTAAAAGGAACTACTAGTTTTGGATGCTGTGGCAGGGATTAATGGACTCAGACCGTGTGTAAAAACTGGATGTAGTGTCTGATTCAAAAAGGCTGCATACCTGAGGGATGCTGCTCTACTGCTCCTTTGATCCATGTCCTCAGTAAATAATTTCCTGATGAGTTTATGGTTTCAACTGCTAATTTCAGGTCTTAATTATTAAAACATAAACTTTCTTTTTTAATTCACGTCCCACAATAAGGCTTTTAGGATAACCCTAATCTGTAATTCACCTGTCACTGTCATATAGGCCTACAGTTTCACTCAGTTTCCCAGTCACGTTCCGTGCCATGCTCATCATGTCAAATTTCCAAAAGCTAGGATAGGACTTCAAAAATGCTGTTTTACTGCAAGATCTGTTGAACCAAGAAATCACTTAAATAGGAACTGTTTGACAAAGTGAAGTAAGCTAAAAGATTTTGCAGATTTCTTTTTGTTTTTTTTGACGATTCATCCAGGAGGTCAAAAAAGAACCTAGAACAACATCTAAAGATCTGCAGGCCTCACTTGTCTGAGTTAAGATCAGAATGCATGATTCAACAATAAGAAAAAGACTGGGGACAACAAATTAGGTGAAAATCCTGGCTCAAATTGAGATGCTTTTGCCAACTTCCAAAAGGCGTGACGTGAACAGGGCTATACTTGCTGCTCAAGTGCTGCAAAACTGATGGCACAGCACCTCACGGTGCAAATGGATAATGATCCAAAGCAAGAAGCTGCACAGGTTTCACAAAATAAATAAATGGGATATTCTTCAATGACCAAGTCAGTCACCTGAAGACAAAGCTGAAGGCAGAGAAACCCTCAAACTAGCTGTCGCTGAAGGCAGCTGCAGTAAACACGTAGGAGAGCATCTCAAGGGAGGAAACACAGTATTCTGTGATGTCAGCTTCAAGACTTCATGCAGTCACTGACTGCAAAAGATTTTCATCCCAATATATAAAACAATTCTTGTATTTAAAATTATGCTAGTTTGTCCTAGTACTTTTGAGCTTCAGAAAATGGGCTGTAATGTTCTATAAAAATAGTAGCATGTTAATGTGATACTTCTGTTATTTATCTGAAAGTCTGAACTGCACAGTCAAACCTTAATTTGCTCAGTTGTGGTTTACGGAGACAAAACTACAAAAAGAATTTTTGTTCCTCCAACAAATTTTGGACCCAATCATATCATGAAATACCTTATTCAATAGAAAAAAATATCAACGTCCAACTGAGAGAGGAAGTCAAACCAAACAATTCAGACATCTAAAGTACTACGGAAACAAATCAAATGATCCAAAGTTGTTTTTTCCTTTTGTGAACCTGAAGCTGTGATCCGCTGACACTGTTTGGGGACTACTTTTTATTTTCTTTTTCTTGACTATTCCCAGAAGTAAACAGTGAGAGGACATGAGCAGAGGAAATTCCAGCAGCTTAACATGGATCAGTGTTTACAGAATCTGAAGATGCTCCTCCCTCTTGGGATAACACACATAAATCATCAACTGCTTGGTGACATGCAACTCAGCAGCAGGTAAAAAAAATACATGCAAAAAAAAACCATAGAAAATTTAACATGTAAATATTCAGCATCAGTTTTATTGCAGTTTAAAAGATGCATATTCATGTTATACATTCCTCAGAAATGATTTCTATAGAAGTCAAAGTAAAACTACAAAAGCTACTATTACATTAGACACACACACATACACACAAATCTGAAGCCTTGTTTTGAAACGCCTGTGCTACTTTACTGTTTTCTATTCATGTTAGTGGATCTGTGGATGTAAACTGAACCTGTGCTCAATTCCCAACACAGCTGCTGCAAGTTTCCCAGAGTGCAGAACAAAGCCTGAAGTCAGTAAAAGCTCTTAAGCAGACTTAGCAACCAAATGCCAAAAATACCTGAAAGCACATAAGGGTCCTTCTTGTGTTTGGGCAGCAAACAACAGTTCTGACAAGAAGGCGAAAGCAAATTCCAGAGTGCTGTTAACTCACAATTTAGGTCCATTGCTGTGTACCATTTACACTCTAGTCCTATTGAATACCATTTTTATGAATATAATCACTACTATCCACCTATCACTGCAAGCTAGTAACAAATCAAATCACTTTAGATCCTTTATAGTCAATGTATATAATAAATTGTTCCACTAAATTGATCGCTGATACAATGAAACAGAAGTTAATAGTATCCACTTGAATGTAACTTAGCACAGATTAGCTATAAACTGCAGTGTATGTAGTAGTTATTTATAACACTCTATAAGAACACTGCAGTAGTTTACATTACCTTTTAAAACATACACATTCTCCTATGAAGACATTTTAAATGTCTGCATTAGTACAATGTTATACATAATGAATGTTTACATGCTGCTTAGAAATGCAGAGTTAGAACTGAAGAAGTCTCTTGGAGCTGAGCTGAGAAGCTGAGTTGCTTTCTTTCCATCCTCCTTAGAGTCATTTTTTAACGAGTTGTGACTTTTATCATTTATTTTTAATGCATTCACCTCACCTGGCATTTCTGTCCATATCAATATCTGTTACTATGTTACATTTTTCAGCTCAGCTGGTAATTTTAATGCTTCCAGTTAATGTGGAAATGCCATGCTGTATTGTTGCACTCTGATCAATTTAAACTGATGTTTGTTTGTTTTTTTTACCAAATTATTATATTATTATATGCATTATATGTATGTCTAAAAAACAAAACAAAGTGTAACACTCTGCATTACAGCTTGTTTGTCTGAGTTTTTTCTAATGGTCAGTAAATCCTGGCATGGGGAAGGGCCTGGCGAATAGCTCCACCCGCTGGCGGAGCTCTGTGATGCGTGACACTGTATCTTGGTCCTCCAGCAGAAATGACTTGAAGCTAGCCAGGTTTCCTGTTTGGAGACAGAAAGGCAAAAAACTTGCATTTATTCTTTTTGCTTGTTTCCTGAACCCTACTCACAGCTAATAAATGATCCACAGTCCTTAGCTGCAAGAGAAATAATGAATGCTGAACACATATTCGAGCACTAGTAATCTATGTAAGCAAACAACATGTCAGCATGGTGAATCTGCTGTACACAAAACCCCAAACACCACCACTCCCACTGGATGAATCACAGGTTTAGACGAAACTCCCTCACCGGTCTTCTTCTTCACGTCCAGTGCAATCTGAATCCCTTCATCAATCAACTCCACAACTTTTTCAAAATCTGCCTCCTTAAACTGCCGAGAGGTCAGAGCTGGAGCTCCTGTAAGAAAGTGACAGATAAAACAATCGTTAGATTAAATGGTTTGATTGTTGTCAATAGTTCATAAAGAGAGGGTTGGTTTGAGGTACATGGTGACATACTGAATGATGGTCTGGTGATAAGAACTACAGATACAGTGACATGTAGCAGGAAACACAGACACATCACAGAGTCAGACACTCCGAGAGAGAAGAAAGGGTCTGCTGCCATACGGGCAGAATGACAGAGTGGCTGACAGAGTCTGTCCAAAGTAGCTCCACTCCTGTAACTCTTTCCTAGATTACTAAATTTTGCAACACATTCTGCACAAGCTGCACTTCTATTAAAGCGAGTACCAAGTCGAAGTCCTCCTGGAGTGAGGGCGCTCTTATCTCCAGGACAGGTGTTCTTGTTGGCCGTGATTGACACCAGCTCCAGGACCCTCTCAGCTCGAGCACCATCCATACCACGAGGTCGAAGATCAACCAAAACCAGGTGGTTGTCTGTTCCACCTGAGAAACTGAAGAGGAGGATAGATCTATAGGATCTGTATTTGAGGAAATGTTTCTAATGGTGAAATTCTCATCAAGTCTTTCCTGGAGACAATGAGGAGACGTGCAGCTGCTACAGTAAAATATTACTCACTGGTTTTTTTCCATTCAACTGTCAAGTGAAGCTTAAGTGAACTTTTCCAAAGTTGTAAAAACAGAATGCAAATGAGGCTGAAGCAAATGCAAAGTGATCCAAAAGCAATTGCATCAGGCACTGGAGAGGTAGAAATGCGCTGCTCGTATAAATGCTGAGTCTAATTTCATAGTCAGAAAAAGAAAACAAAAGCATTTGTCGTTTATTTTAATTTGTATGAAATAATTTGTTTTTAATGCAAAAATATACAATTTCAACATCATAGACTCACTCAGCACCTGACACCAAAGTGTAGCCTTTTTTAAACAAAGCATTGGCCATGGCTTTGGTGTTCAGCAGCACTTGATGGATGTATCTCTTGAACATGGGAGTGGAAGCCTGCAGAAGCAGAAATCATGTCGTGTGAGAGAATAAGATTGTATTCAGATACTCCAAATCCAGACCTACTCGACCTACGCTGATGTTGTCTGAGGATTTCCCCTTTAATTGAATTTGTGGGCTATTATTGAACATTAAAGATTAAAATACACATCTTGACCTGTTTGAGGGCGACAGCCACCCCAGCAATGGCGTGGTTGTGAGGTCCTCCCTGAAGTGATGGAAACACAGCAAAGTTCACTCTGTCCTGGAGTTCATAAAGGACTTCCCTGCCTTTCTTATCCACGGACCTCACACCTTTCCGGTAGAAGATCAGGCCAGCCCTGCAGAGCAGAGAAAGGACACCAAATGTGCTTAGCTGGACATGTGCAGAATCACATGTATAAAGCTCTTACCTGAATAGGCAACTATCAACACACTTATTAAAATTAATTCATATTAGGGCTCAGATCCTAACCTTGCTCCACGCAAGGACTTATGGGTGGTGGAAGTCACAAGGTCAGCGTGCTCAAAAGGAGAGGGAACAGCTCCTGCAGCCACCAGGCCACTAATATGAGCCATATCTGCCAGCAGGTAGGCACTCAGCTCCGCACACAACTAAAAGACACACAGCTCAACATGAACCCCACAAACCTGAAATCCTGTTACTTTCTCAGCTTTTCTTTAAATGTCCAAGTATCTCATCACGCTTCAGTAACTCAGTAATCTGATTTGTGGTAGAGTTAACAGCTGTTGGAAGTTTCTGAGACACCTTCTCGTAAACATTATTAAATGAAGCACCTTCTTCATGCGAGAGTAGTCGATGAGACGAGCGTAGGCGCTGGTTCCTGCTATGATAAGTCTGGGTCTGAAAAGGCGAGCAGTCTTCTCCAGCTGGTCATAATCTATGAGACCTGTTTGGGGCTGAGGGGGATTCAGGAACAGGGGGTAGAGAGAACAGCTTACGCTTTCTTATGTCTTTAAATGGATCACAGGTTTGAAACCTTAATTCTGTTTGAATACTACTTACATCCACTTTGTAAGGCATCGATTCAAAGTAAATAGAGGTGGCTGAGACTCTTTTGTTGTCTGACATGTAGCCGTGGGTAAGGCTGAAATGTGAAGGACAAAATATATAATTATAACAGAGCGCACGTGGGCAGAAGATGAGTAGGTGCAGGGTGGACAAAAAGCTCTGTATAAAATGTTATTATGGGAATGGAAATATCCTCTGCTTGAGCATGTCTAGCATGAATGAACTTTGACATATTGACTCACTGTCCCCCATCAGGCAGATCCAGGCCCATGATGCGGTCATGAGGCTGCAGCACAGAGGTGTAGGCTGCAAAGTTAGCAGGGGATCCAGAGTATGGCTGAACATTAACGCCCCACAGATTGGGATCCAGACCAAAGACCGAGAGCGCTCGCTTCTGACACAGCAGCTCGATCTGGTCGACAATCTCCGCACCTCCGTAGTATCTGACAAAGACAAAAAAAGAAACATAGAATCATCTCATGTTATTGTAACGCACACACTTCATATTGTAATTTATCATATTGTACGATAACTGTATAATTTTGCAACAAATCATGTGTACTGAATCATGCAGTACCCTTATGTATCCTATCACATCTTCAAACTTTGTATTCTGTCATATCATGGGGTGTCGTAATGTATTGTTCCATTTATTTGGCTATATGTTATTGTTTCTTACTGAAACTGTACTATGAGGGATAACACTGATCACTGTTGTGTATCACATCAGATTTTATTACATCGTATAGTATCATAGTATTGCTTTCTTTTGCATTCAATCATATCATATTCAACAGACTGTATTGCATCGTATGCTGTCATATCACTCTATATCATGTCACTGTCCTTTAATATACTTTGTGCACTTTTAGTTTGTGTTGAGCTGGATTATATTGCTATATGCTATGTGAACAGCCCTGAATTATGCTGGGAAAAGAAATGCAAACCTTTTTGTTTTAAAGTCCATTTGCCTTTAAATGAAATTTTATAAGCTTCATGTGCTGGCTTCTGAAAATAGTTTTAATGACTAAATCAATATATGTTTAAAGTAGGCGATGCTTATTACCTTTGTCCTGGGTATCCCTCAGAGTATTTGTTGTTCAGACAGGAGCCCTGTGCCTCCAAAGCTGCACGACTGCAGAAGTTCTGGAGGGACAAACAAAAAAGCATCAAAACCTGCAGTAAATTTTTATCTTACTTATATTTTCAGAAGTCTGTCACCAAATATAACCTGTTTTTTTTTTAAACCAGATATAGCTTTTATTTATCTTCAGAAGGACGACTGTTTTGCAAATACTTATTGCAACAAAAATGGAGCAGATGCTTTTAACAGCCTATTGTATAAGCTACAAATGAGCCATATTTGATTATTTAAAGAAATCAGAGTGCATTAGAGGTACTATAGTGATGCTGAGGGCTGAATATAGAAGAATCTAACTAGTACTGAATCCTTGCAAAGTTCAGCACGGTGTCAAATGTCAGAAAAGAGATGGAGCTGCGGAAAAAGGAAATGAATGTAAATGAATTTTTTTCCCTGTCTCAGTCTTTTTTTCTCCCACTCACATTTCAGCTTATCTTCTCTCACTGTCTTTCGCTTTCTCTTTCTCTGTCCTCCTCAGCCGCCCCCTCTGGGTTGTTATTTTACTAAACCTGTCACTGTTCAGGGATCCCTCAATCATTCCAGTGGGGTTTAAAACTAGTCCCCCAAGTGACATAAATCTCTTTCCATGACATTTTGAAACACTATCTTGACACACACAAACACACACAAACACACACATACACGATCGCTCCTCCTTCTCTGTCTCAGCTTTAAATGTGGGGATCAGTGAAAGAAATCAGTGGGGGGAACCTAATGGGATCATTTGACTATGTTCCTGAAGATGAAAAAAAGCAGGGTCTCTCCTCTGGGAGTTGGCTCAGAGCGCCAAATGACTGATAGCACATGTAAAAGAAGATTAAACCTTTCAGATGTCATCGTGAGTGATAGTTCTGTGGATGCATAATTGGTGGAGAATAAAAGAATAAAAGCTCCCGTCTTTTCCCACAGCTTCCACTTAGTCAAAATAACTGACTTAAAAGGAGTTGGTGGGGTGCATCGGAAATCTCAGTGAATGCTGAAGAAAACAGTAAAATTCTGGAAACTACAACTCTGATGACTTGAGATTTCACTGCTGACAAATGTGCTCCTCTGTGAAGAACAAAACATATTTCAGCCCAAACTCAGTGGAGTATTTTACTGTAAGTCTGTGGAGTCTGCAGCTCTTTCATGAATTTTGCGTCGCAAAACCGATTTTTATCCTGGCTGACCAAAAAATGAGGTCTTAACGTTAAATGTAAGCCTATAGACTCATTACCCCGGTATTTATTTTTGACTGACATCATCTATTGAACAATCAAGTAGGAGGAAAATTTAAATTCTTATTTTTTAAATATTGTTCACTATATAAAAAAAGCTGTAAAAATACAGGAAATTCGCATATGACTGTAGTGTTCTTTGAGCTCTGTAAATGCCGGTGCCTTTGATGCCGGTGCCGGTGCTAAACTAGATAATCATCACTATTTTTTTTGTCTCTGTTGAACATAAATACACACAGGACTTTTAATATTTTAGTTCATATCAATAAGTTATATTTTGATTGCTGGCTGTGCATGAGTGATGTGGTTATTGAGCCACCATGACCAAAACTCTAGCAGTGAGGGATTTTCTGGGTGTTTTGAGATTTTTAACGCACCAGGATTTTTATAAATGTGTTTCTAGGAGTAGAATAGCAACAAGTTACATAATAATTTTATGATAGTCAAACAGCTGACAGTATTTCACTGTAAAGCTTGTATTTTACAGTGAACAGCACATTTCCATAAGACTTGCACTTGAAACTGTCATTCTAGATTACAGCAGGTTCTCCGTGAAATCACAGTTTAATGCCGGCAATTCTAGTTGCTTTTATTTTATTTTAATTTAACAATGAACAGCACAGTTTACCTGTCACACCTCTTTTTCCAGAACTAATTTTGCACAGAGATTATGTGTGACGCAATACACAGAGCAAACATTTAAACAGCCACTTTTGATTCCCCTCAGCAGCCTGCTGCTGAGGGGAATCATACATATAACGTGTTGTTTTTCCAATCAAGATTTACTGAAGATTTAGCTTTCATGTTTTTCCTCTTTTATTTAATCTCCTTATGGTACTTTGATCACATTTTCTTCTCTTTCATCTAAATGGGGTCTGACCTCTGATGCGATGAGCTCCAGTCCCCGACACTGCCTGTCCTTCTCCTGCTGCAGGAGTCTCCACATCTCTGGGTCATCCTGAGCCAGGCTCTCCTGTCCTGTCCACCCATCGCTGCTGCTGCTGTTGCTGAGGTGTCTTCTGCAAGATTTTGCAGTCATCTGCCTCTGTTGGCCCAAACATGCTGAAGCACTGAGAAAAAGGGGCTGCAGCGTGGGGGGTAGTGGATGAACACACAGGAATGATTTCAGTCACTGAATAAATGTACACTTTTTGAATAATGATTTTAAAGCTGTTCACTAGTAAGCAGCCTGGGGCGACTGTGTTACATTTCTTGCGACCTGCTGTTCTAAACTGCTCAGAGAAGTTAATAAAAACCTCTTGAAGGCACAAATACCAAGTCACGGGGTGCGATGCAACTCTCCATTGTGCTTTAAATGCTCTGCAGAGTGTAAAAAAAAGGTTTCTGGTGGGGGGTTCTTTTTCATCCTTTGGTGTCTTTTGAAACCCTGATGAAGAGTAAGCCTGTGCACAAATACTTTCATCCCTCAAAATGATAATACTTTGCACTTGGGGTTTGTAAACAAGGGAGTTAGAATAATGTGGCTTTTGATGTTCTAAACAACCCATTAAATGAAAGTCAGTAAAAAAAACCCCCCCACAAAACCCCCCCAAATGTGTTATTCAATGGAGCAGTTATGGAAAACCTTGGACTTGAAAAATGTACTGCGTGTGGGCTGGTCAGACATGGAGGGGCTTGTTTGTTGAAACCAGCTTGTGCCTGCATGATAGTTATGCAACTATGTGTTACTTTGGCCTAATAGACAGATTACTGTTGAAGCATAAATATATGTTAAAGTAAGTCTCCTTTCATCTTTTGTATTCGCTGTGTTGAGTATAGTAAGTCTTGCATAAAGTGCAGACTGTGCAGTCAACTTTCTTTCAGCAAAATAAAGAAATAAATAAACTGGGACAGCAGTGTGTGTTTCTCTTTTGGACTGAAAAATACAAAGAAAAAATCTTCAAACCAGACATTTTTATCAGGGTTGACGTTTAGTGACAAGCTGGCCTACTTACAGTTATAAGTGACTTATTTACAACTACTCTTACATGCAGAAAAAGGGTCTCCTGAAGCAGATATAAGTGCACGTAATTTAAAAAAACAAAACGTACTCACCTGTAATCTTTGCCTTAACGTCAGAGAGAGCATGTCTGCAACAGCTGAGGGAAAAACAGAAAACTTCCCAGGTGCAAAGGGTGAAAGTAAAATCAGTACTGGATGTAGCCAGATACCGGACACGTACTTTGTGTCACTGATAATAATGACTACAGTAAATAATCCCTTTCATCTCGCTCTGTGAGTTCTTTGAATAGGAAACTTCCATAAAACAAACAGGCATAGAAACATTTTCATAGTAAAAACATTAGCTGAAGTCAGTCTGTGCTTTAAAAGAAAACCTACATGTGATTCTGTCCTTAAACATAGATACATATACAATATTATCATTATTTTTTAAGTAAAAAAAAAAAAAGAATACAAGTCAAATTTTGGATGAAAACCTTAATTAATGCATAATCGTGAGGCAAAAGTTTTAAACACAAATTCAAAATCAGCGTTAATGTTTTAATGAGTGTGCTTTCAGACAACACAAAGCTTACACAAAACTTAAATCCTTAAAAAAGACAACACAAGTTTTGGCTTAATCTGCATTCACTGACAGGCTGACGATGTATCTTTATGTTGAAGGTGTTTGGAAAACTGAACATATGATTCTGAAGGATGTTTGAAGGACGAGTGAGAAGTCAGTGTATCATATCTCAGAATTTGTCACCCAAAGTGCTGCTGGTTCTGCTCAGGGCAAACTTTCTGCACCAGTCTGTAATCTGTGCCAGTGAAGGCGATGAAGATGCATATAACCTTAAATGGTTTGGCACAGATCCAGGCTGCCTGGGACTGGGTGTTTTCTGAGTAGCATGTCTGGCCTGGGTCGTACATGCAGGGCTTGGTCTTCTTGGACCGGTTGGTTCTCTGGTACTCGATCCGGCAGTTGAGTTCAGTCACCATCATCATGTCCTGCTGCTGCTTCTGCTGTTCGGGAGGAGTGGAGCTGGTGGACTGAGGAGGGCTTGGCAACTGGGACATCAGATCTGGGAGCAGTACTGAGTTTTTAGTGTGAACACTCTGAGATGCAGGATCAAGAACCTCCCATCCCACAGCTTTGGAAGGTGGAACGATGCTGACAGATATGTTTCCCAGACGGGATGAATTGTGGCGGAAGTAGACGCTGAATGTTCCATTGATGTGATCCACAATCTTCCCTGTCACCAAGAGGCTAAATTTCACTGTTTTCACATTAAAGTAAAAATCCCCCCAGCCCAGGATCTTTTTGGCCTTTGGGGAAGTTTTAGCTGGAGGTTTGGATTTGGGAGGAGGACGATACAGATACTGATCCAGGGCTTGTGAGAAGTTCTGAGGCCAACCGTATGGGCCAAGCGAGCCATAAGCAGGTGTTTTATGTTTGGTGGAGATGATCTGTAAATCTTTGGAGATATGTTTAACTTTCAGTGCTGCTCCACCAGCACCTTCTCTTCCTCCTTCCGCCTCACCCCACTCTTGGCTTTGGAATTCCAGTTTCTTGGATATCTCTTGGACCTGTGGAAAAAAAGTATAAAATAGTGAATTTTGAAAATGTTCTTCATCCATTGTTGCAAGATATAGCTTATTTGTCAGCTTACATACAGCTGTGCTCAGAAGTTAACAGTCACTATGGGCATAAATGTCATGGGGCTTTGGGGTTTTAGTGAACTGTTCTTTTTCCAGGGATTGTACAACATACATATTTAATGACTTAAAAAAATAAAACAAGAATTAGCTTCACAAGTCTGAAATGTTTTGGATTTTATCTAAGCTCAAAAGCATGCACAAACCCCACTAACATTTGGTTAAATGTCTTAGTAAGTTTCACCTAGACCATACACTATTGGTAGCCACCAACATGTATCTGGCATCATTCTTGCAGGATATTTGAACACTCTACATGGCTTCTTTGAAGCATAGTCCACAAATTTCCAATAGGATTGAGATTTGTACTTTGGGAATGCCATTCCAGAAGCTTATTGTTAGCCTGCTTTATCATGTTTTTGAGATGTTTGAAATCATTGTCCAACTCGGACATGCAGTTGTGTCCAAGCTGTTGATTTGAGGTGAAGTTGAAGTATTCGGAGAGACCCCTTCTTCATTATTCCATCTACTGTGTGCAATATACCAGTACCAATGGGAGCAGAACAGACCCAGGGCATTATGTGACCACCACCATGCTTGACAACAGGTACAGTGGTCTTAGAACCTCGCCCTTACTCCTCCAACAACCTCTTGTCATTGTAACCACACAGGTCAATCTTTGAATTATCGACCATTAAAATTTTCTCCAGAAGCCATTTGACTTGTCTGTGTGAGTATCTGCAATCTTAGTCAAGCCTAAAAGTGGAAATGTAAAATTTCCATGGTGGTTACCTGGTTATTCCTGAACATCCTAACCAATTTCATCTCATCTGAGGGGACAGCTTGGGTGTTCTTTCACACTTTGACAAAGTGGTAACACATCCTAATAACTTTTCTTACATTTAGTTGTTTAAACCGATTATCCTCAAATTTGTAGCTGTTTAGAAATGGCCCATTAAGTTTCTGGAATGGCCGTGCCAAAGCCACAACCTCAGTCCCGTTTAAAATGTGTAGACCCTGCTTAAAAGCTCCATGCCATTAAACGACCTTGTTTAAATGAAGATTGGTCAAATATCCAGCCAGAATTATGCTAGAAGTTTGTTGTCCAAAATAAATTAAAACTTGTGTACATAGTTATTTATTTTTCTTAAACCATTACAGATGTTTGCTGTACGATCATTCCACCCTGGAAAAAGAACAGTTCAAAGACATCATTACAAGCCCCACATTACCGTGACATTTATGCCCATGATGAGTCTAAACATCTCACCACAACTGTGTATCCACAGGGGTGATCTCCGGTGCAGTTTCAAAACAATGGAGACAAATGGAATTTGGCCACGGTGTTGTTTGGCCACGGTGTTGTGCTTTTGCACACCATTTTTCCATAAACACTACAGAATATAACATTTTGTAGATTGTTTTAACTGAAGAAACAGTCCCTGTTAGGAAAAAAATCCCCCAAATTTGTGTTGTAATTGGCCGATTTGCCAAGTAGTGAAAAGACACGTTGCCTTGTTTTTTATTTATCTTTTTATTTATTTTGAATTCAGTAAGCACCACATGTAAAATTTCATCCAGCTTTTTGATACTGGCGTAGATACTGATATATCAAAGAGAGGCAGAAAAAGAAAGAGAGACCCAAATCCTAAAATTGAACCTCTTTGATTAGCCGCAAATTACTTTTGTGTTTTGTTATACTAATAAAACAACTCTTAAAAGCACCAAATGAAACTCATATCCACTAATGCTCACAGACAACTATAAGAACTTTATAATATCGACTGTAACCCAAAACAACTCTGGGGTTGTCAACATTGTCACCATTAACTACAGTAAAAAAAACGACAGTAAAAAAGTCACAGGATTTTGTTGTTGGACTGCAGAAAGTGACAAGAAAGACGAAGAGCAAAACTGCCCTTGACCACCTGGATGACCACAAAGGAAGGACAGCTTGACTGTAGCTGCACTATAAGGCAGCACATAATCGATTTAAATAATTATTCTTGAGTGTTGCGGGCCCTCGCACTGAGAATGTCTTGAAATTGACTGTGATCAATAGGTTATCTCCTTCAGGCAAGGACTACAGTAATGAGGAACATGCACACACCCACACCACAAACAAACACAGTCCCGTTCTTGTTGCCATTAACACGTTTTAATTTGCCCGTCCGTTCGTCCTCTCTCACTCCCCCTTTAAAACTTTCAATCGTCGTTTCTGCACGACCTTGGTAATGGACCGTCTATAGGCTGATTAATCAATATGCTTGAGATAGAGAGAAACGTGGCTGCTGAAGAATCAATAAAATAATAAATGTATGAAAATATGAAAAATATGAAAAATATGCATCTGTTTCAGGCACATTTCCATATTGAGCTCCTTCTGTGCCAAATATGTCTCAGTGGTCTCAAAAAGACTAAAAAATCTTTAACCTTTTTCCTCCTCCTCCTCTTCATTACCTTAAATATCCCAGCTTCTAATCTTGGATTGATTTGGACAGCTTCTTGAAATGAATAAGGGATTAAGCTTTCACCTGAATGCATCTTGTTAGGTAAGCGCTTACGACTTCACGTTTTGTTCGTTGTATTCATCACTTCCACCCACATTGTCCTCCTTCCTTCTACTGTCCTATTTTGTCCCTTTTTCGGGAAATAGATTGTATAAAGGTATCTACGCTCCCTGGCCTTTCCCCTGAAGTCAAATCTGATGAAACAGTATGGGTGAACAGCCTGCAGATTATATGAAAAAAAATACACCACATCAAAATGATACATTAAGCTGCCTCTTACAGTGTTGACTCCACTGTACCGGAGAAACACTCCAAATATATTTTACAGGAACTAAAAATCAATCTGTTGCCACTAATTGCTTTAATGTTAAATATTTTTGACTTCTGTGATAGCGCCACATTTCATGCACAGCTCACGCAGAACTGAAGACATCATTAACACAGAGAAATACGGTAATTAACTCCACTTGAATGTCCCTCTTGGGTTTAAAAAAGAAATAGCACTCCAAAAATATAAGAGTGTGACCATGAAAACTAAATACGTCTTCATACTGATGAAGCAGCTTATCATAAGCCAGGCAACCACCTGCTGTTGTGTCTATTAAAATACACAA